TAGTAGAAATAGACCAAAGTATTTGACAATTTTAATTATTTTCCTTCATTCTTCAAATCTAAATTTTCTTTATTTGACATTTCTATCTTTTGCATAATCGTGATATAATATTTTGTTTACTATTAACGCTAAGGATCGAATAATTTTACTAAGGATTTTTAATAGCAAAACTCGATATAATAATCCTTGACCACGAAACTTTTCGAAGTTTCAATAAAAATATTTTATAATAAGTGAAGTCATTCTTTTTTTTTAAAAAAAAAAGAAAAAAAAGATTGTTAAAAAAAAGAAAATTTTATAATGCAGATGTCAACGTTTTAAGCAAAAGATAAAAACTTTATCCCTATAATATTGGTAAAAAATACAATTTAAAACAAAATCATTCAAAAGTTTAATAAAGTCTAAACTAACTTAGACGTCATTACCATCGATTCTTCCCTGTCAAAAAGTGTTGTCATCATTAACTCCGCACAGCTTATTTACGCCACAGTGGCACGATGGTTTTTATATGTTATTATTATATCCAAAAAGGTATATAAGCGCCGAATTTTGATTGAAAGCATGAATTTAAAAATAAATCATAAATACTTTCGAACGATTTGGACACATCACGTTTAAAAAAAAAGATGCGAAAAAAGATGCGAAAAAAGTTTACATAATTCATATACTTGCAGTATATAATAAAATATATAAGGAAATTCAAAAACCATAAATACCATGTAAAGAATAATTAAAATATTGAAACGGAATTAAAATTTATTAACAATCAATTTAATTGCACAGAACGTGTATTTCTGACGAATAAATCATTATAATGAATATAGATTCGTCAGTTATAAGGATAAGGAAAATTAAAAAATATCTCAATTGAATAAATTTTTACAGTCACAAACAACATTCAGTTAAGAAGGATAAATTAAAAAAAGGTACATAAGACAACTTAAATATACCATGATAACTTATAAAACAATCCTGATTCTAAATATATTTTCCATCAGGAATTTACATGATCAACCGCAAAATAAATATTACATTTAATAGCAATACTTGAAGACCGACTTATCGGCTAAAAGACAGGCGGAGATGGATTATACAGTTAGGGATCTATCTAAGAATAGCATGTGTCATTTAATCTTTACTAAAGTGTGATGAATAATTGAAATAATTTACTATACCCTAAACTTTCTAGAATTGGAGTTTATAACCTATAGCACTCCGGCAAAGTTTCCACCTATTATAATGGAATCATTGAGGGTTCGACCTGATTCTTATAAGTCATTAAGAATTCATGGTATTAGTATACGTCGTAATATCAACATGAGAAATACTGGAACTTGGTAAAAATAAAAGTTTATGTAAGCATTATCATTATATCAACCATCACGATCTTATCATCATGTGTATTTGCTGTACCTCGTTCAAAAGGATTTAGAGAAATTTCTAAATATGTCATAACTTCTTCTTTATCACTAACGCTTGGTTTGAAAACCAGAGATTTAAGTGTGATGTATTGCGATGAAGCGATAAATTTATCGAAAAAAATCATCAACATTTTTTCTTCGAAAGAAGATTTTGCTTTTGCTTTATCTTGAATTTCACAAAAGAATTGAAGATCAAACATATTCGTTTCACATGAAAATTTAATTTTTTCTTCAGCTGCTTTACCATTGAGCACGCTACTGCCATTTTATTTCTTGGTTTTATGGGTGATGGTTAATCAATGGATTGTGCTAAGTCGATGAAATCGAGAAGAGTTTAGAGAAAGGAACAAGCAAGTCAAAATAAATTAGAATGATTTCATGACGTCAAAAAAAAAAATGTTTTAGTTTAATTTTATGTTGATTGTATTAAATTCAAGAGTATTAAGTTATAATTGAATGGAGAGAGAAATATATAGTTCCTACTAAATGTTTTTATTTTCTTAACAAAACTTAGTGACGGATTTTTCCATTCATTATCGAAGTACGATTTAATTAATTTCATAAAAATATATATATAAATTCTACTTTTGTAGTTCATTTTTTTTTAGTTGTAACTAGTTGAGTTTAAAAATTAATTGCATCTAATTTTTCCAATCAACAGATATGCAAATCTATATTGAGGAACTCTAAATTCATCTAGCAAATGAACTAACCAAATTGAATGTTGAACGAAATCGACGTACTTTTTACACCAATTCAAATAAACATAAACATTGTTTCTACTCACGGTACTATGTACCAAATAGGGATGGTATTTGGTTGGCTTGTCAGTTTCAGTTTAGCAAACTTCCGGTTTAGGGAGTTAGCGGCTAATTATGGTTT